TCATTAATATTATTTTCTATTCAAATTTTTCACTTGCAAATATTCTTTGCTCTGTTCTACGTAGCAGCTAGAATCTCTTGCAAGCATGAAAATAGCACTTTGCGCACTTTGCTTACGAGTTAATATCAGAAAACATTGGGTTTGATAACAATTTAGTCAGTTTATCTATTTTTGTTCTTGTAAAAATTGCTATTTTGAATTTAAAAATTTAATAAAAAATTTTTAAAGCTTCATTTTTTATTCTTTGGATGTCTCATTCAGGTAATAAAGCTTAGATGGGTAAAAAAAATAAGCAAATCGAAGAAGACGCAACTTCATCTATTCATTATTAGCTGGTGTACATTTATTTTCTCATAAATAATTGCTCATTTTTGGAACAAAATAATAACCAATAAAATGAAATAATGCAAATTACAACAGCTATGCACATTTTTAAATATTAACAAAAAGATAAAGTAGAAATAATCATTTACTTTATTTATATGCAATCGAATAATAGTAAATTGAACTTTTGAGGATTATGACGGAAGGATTACTCTGTTTTATTGCTTATCTTTGAAATAACAAAATAGTTCACCACTAATAAAATAATTTTGCGCATAATTTTATATGTGCTTATTATTTGAAAAATACGCGTTGAGAAAAAGTTAAGCTTTTTACAGAAAAAATTTAATTTCAACATTTTTATTTTTAATAGTTAATGCTAAATAATTTGATAATTACTGCTTAAGCATATTAATTAGCATAATCAATCAATAAAAGGTTTTCATAAACAATGCTTTTTTCAGTAAATGAAAAATTTGGTACAAAAATGAGCATTTCTGGCAGCGAATTATTTCTTGGAGCAAAATCGAATCAAACAAATCATGAACATGGCAAAGAATCGAAGAAAGCTTAACTTCAAATTCTTAAAATACTTATTCAATATTTTGTGTTATTTAATTCATACACTTTGTTAGTGCCTTGTAGCTATTTTCATTCCAAATAATTGTATTGCTTCAATTCGAATATAACTAAAATCTATGCTTTTTTTTCGATGGTTGATTGAGTTGATTTTCTGCAGAAAAGTGTAGATCTCATTAGAAATTCACTTACTATCAAGAGCTCTCTAAAGTCTAACTCAGTTTTCTAACTTCATTCAAATAAATCAGACTCATTCAACTCACGTAATGAATTTATTTATAGGTAACAAAAAAGTCATGCCAATATTTTCAATCATTTTATAGTTAACATTACCTAAGAGCATTTATTTTGCATTTGCCAATAATATCACCATGTAGTTACTTCAACGAGATACTTTACTTCAACTAGAAATAAGCAGTATTGCTAACTTATAACCCTTTTATCAGAATAACTTATCATACATTAAGTGATTATAAATCTTAAAACTATTTCATGCAATACTGCAAAAAGTGTTTATTTTTATCTCAAATTTTTATTACCTAATAAGGACACATAATAATACATCAATGCTAGAGTTACGATTTCATTATCTGTGAAAATCGAAAACATTAACTTGAATTTATTTTATACGAAAATAAAAAAACACATTATAAGTAGTATTTTTCCTGCACACTTCAGTGGATAAATCATTACTTTTCTAATAAAAATGCAATAATTATTCGATGATTTTCACAAGCAGATATTAATCAAAGTTTGCTAATACCAAAATTTTTTTATCATATTTTATTGCATTAAAAAATTGTATTTTATACAGTGAAAGAGTGTTACACGTAAATTTGAATATCGAAAAGTATGCATAAGCACGATACCAAATGCTAAATTTTCAATTTCGACTGAGAAATCTTGCTAAATCTTTGTTTAAATGGCAAAAATTGAAATTAATACGACTAATCATAAGAGATCACATTAAGTGAACTGGAAACTCAATCAGAACTATTGTACGAATGATGAATATAGTAGCATTTATTGTATTAAAAATAACCTGAAATTCAGCATACCAATAAATAATGTTAACTTGGAACATTATATATCTTTTCAATCATTTCATATCAAATTAATTTGCAAGCAATCAATTTACGGAAAAATGTTGTTGTTGAATAATTAGTTACAGTAAAAAATGAAAACCTAAATAAAACAATTTTATCAAAAATATAACTGTAATATAAGTGACGTATCAAACGAAACCTAGCTTCTAAGGGGGTTTAGCTCAGTGGTAGAGCGCTCGCTTTGCATGCGAGAGGGCGAGGGTTCGATCCCCTCAACCTCCACTCTTCTTTTGTTGGTTTGATCAAACTAATCACTAATAAATTTTACCCGTCGTTCATTAACACGACAGCGTTGGATGAGTGATTCCAAATATACAAGAGATACATCTATCCTGGTAACGACGACGTCTTTCTAGAAGACGCATATATTGCGTCGCATCGGTCTATTCCTTATTACATGCAACTGAATTGTTTCGTAAGCGAAAACGACGGAAACTAATAGCATAATGCAATGCTTTTAATCAGAAATACTATGAACTTGAAACTATAATTAATGGAACAAAAGAACGCCAATAAGTAGAACACCTTCAATTTTCAGTTCCTTAGCGTTTCTAGGATAGTTATTGTATTGTGCAATGCTGCAAATATTTCGCAGAGCAATTGAAGGAAAGTATTACATCTAATTCCAATTTTGTGCAACAAGTTAGCTTCTAAATACTTATTCTTTCTTAATAACCATGATCAACGAAGTTTTGGTTATGGAGAGCTCTGAAATAATCAATTTTACAGAACTCAACATAGTATGAAATGTAATAACTGAATCTACACATGTATTTCTGAGCGAAAATTCAAGCAAATAAATCAACAGAGATAGAACGAACGCGTATTAGTAGTCAAAAGTATAAGTAAAAATAACAGATGGTAAGAAAAGATATTCACAAAGTAGCGAGCAATATACCAATTTTTCAACAGACAACAGGAATACTGGCTTGCTTCTGTTAAAAGTACATAAATATTCAATAGACAATCATTTGTAAGAAGCAAATCTAAGTTTAATTAAGACTGAATTTGTTACCCTATATAATTTGATCTAAACAGACAAAATATAAAGGGTAGTGTCATATCTTCAATGAGAACCATATTTTACGAAAGAAAATTAAAATAAAAAAGTGAATGAGTGTAAACACGTATATTCATCATAAAGCTTACAACCACATGATTTAAAACGATGCAATGGTTTATCTAGATTCCACATGGTATCCACCACAATGCTTTTCTAAACGTGCCACCAATGTCCGTACGTACTGCGGTAAAACTAACAAACCTGAAACAAAAAACTGTTTCAAAAATTTTTACAAATGCAGAATTCTAAAGTGCAGAATGAAGTAGTGAGTGAAATCATCATATAGTACTTTATAAGAAAATATCACCATTTTCTTCGAATCTACTGTAAAAACGCAGTAAGTAATATCAGCAAAGCTGGAATACACTCAGAAAGTCTTACCAACAATCTTGTGATCTTGAGATGTTCTAACCCGAATTATCTGCATACGCTGTGAGCGTTTGATGTCTCGAGGAGACATTCCACTAGATAATACTTCCTCAACAATCGGCCAGACTGAAAGTACGGATCCAGAAAGAACAAAGTAAGTTCGCGTACGCCGTCCAGTCTCACAATACACACCTGATGTTTCATTTCGACAACGACCGTGAAAATAATTGTGATGGCAAACTCTATTCGAACCTAAAAAGAAACTTTAACGAAAACTTAGGTTTCTACATATATATAAGATAAAAAAACATATGATGTTAACTGAAAGGATTGTGTTTCTAGATATCACCCCAATTTTTTTGCAATGTATGATATCTATTGACCTTCAAACTGATCTTTCCAAATTTCTTCAGTTTCCTCAACAGTAGCAGAACGAAAGCGTTTCATCAGTTCATCCATAGTCACCAATCTCGCACTTCGACCTGTGCTTGGACGAGTGATGCAATACAACCTTGCACCTGTATCCAAACGCTTTTTACCTATGCCATACACAAGAGCCGCAGCTCTTTTTCCATCAGTACCAACTGTTGCCAAATAAAAGCCATCCTAGAAGTGGTAAAAATGCTGACAGATGATAATAGCATGAAATATGCAACAAATCGAAGGCGTCTGATATATAGGACGATCCATAACATATCAAACACATGCTATCATGCTATAAAATCCAGCTAAAACAAGATTGATACAAAATGCAAGGCACTAGAATTAACCTCATCTTCATGATGATCTTTCCAAATAGCATAAGCATCCTCCCAACTCACACCACGCTCCACTCCAATTTTATGAATTTCTACACGGAAACACCCACTTTCATAACGACCGACAAAAATGCGAGTTTCCAATTTACGAGCTTCATCCCCACCCATTCCAAGATCTGAAAATTATCAAATTCAACTGTCTATACTATGCAAAATCAAATCTCGAAACAAGAACGATTATTTTAGCATTGAACAAAACATAATTAAAATTTGTTGCTCACCCATAATACCCATATCATAAGTTCCATCATGCTTGGCCTGATTAACTAATTCAGTGACAATATCCGAAAAGTACTGGAAAAGAGCATTTTGTGCATGTACCGGCAAACCAAGCAGGCGATTGAGAAACTTTGGTATAGTTGCAGATTCTTTTTCAATCACATAAATGCCATTGTCCAACGATAATAAACCAACTCCTTCCATATAACATTGCATATCTAAAAATAAAACATCCTCAATTTAAACAATTAAAATGAAAATATATCAATTTCTTACAGATATCTATAATGAATCAACCTCAGTGCTAATCGAAATAAACAAAAAATTTGTAATTCAAATTTATAAAGGGAAAAATGAAGTCATTTACCAGTAATGAAGTTCCCAGGTTTATAATCTTTTGGTGGTGGTATAAGCGGTGGATTGAACACACCAGTTATTGTTCGCAAAAGTACATCCAAAGCAGTTCGACCATATCTTGTGTCCAAATTAAACTGACTGAGATCACGAGACTCTGTTGCTCGACGATCACCATGAGTTAATGCACCAAGAGATTCAAGTCGTTTAGCGACAACTGATGCAAATCTTAAAAATTTTTTAGCCGTAATAAATTATTCTTCAGATCTCATAAAAATCAAAATACTACTCAACATCAGTTTATTTATTATTAACGCCCGACCATTCTGCAGTATCAGATCTAGTTTTACACTCGATATATTAGATAAAACAAATCAAGTCATCCAATTATAACCAAAATCTCTCACTTTCCATAACATGTATTTTATTTTTACCTTTTTTCACCAGCAAGTTCGGAGATCAGAAATATGTACTCTGGCGCACTAACTTGATTAGAACGGTGAGTGCGACCTAAATAACGAATTTATTCCATATTTTTGACCTTTTTAAAATGTTGCTCTGTACTGTTACGAGAAATCAAAGATTACCAAACTGTTGAATAGCTTTGTCAGCAGACCAAGGTAATTCTAATGTGATGTGAACACGACGCCGACGATTTGCAGCCCTTCTGTCCGACTATAAAAATGTTTATATAATTCGATTCATAAAATAATAAACAGTGCAGTAAATGGAAAGTGATGAGAATGAAAAAAATGTTGCCTGAAGTGAAATGCCAGAAGAGGCCGCCTCGGAAATTATTGCGACCAACTTATCGCCCTTCATAAATTTATCTTTTTCATCCATATTCATCAGTTCAAGAGGCACATCAGCTCCAGCATGACGAAGCTCATACTCAACGTCTCCATCTTCCCGACACACTACACGACCTTTTCGACCAGTCATCTTCAATTATTCCTTATTATTAAATTACCAATAGTACTCCATATTTCACTTCTTAAACAACATTCATGCTTCAACTTAAGAAAATAATTAGTACCATGTACATTCAAAACTAATGAATAATAGAATTAAAATAAAGATGAACCTCAGCCACATAATCAGGACCACCTAATTCATCAATCAATTGATCAAGTGTATTAGGTGGCAGTCGAGGACTTAAACGTTCTACAGCAGCTAACAATTCTGCTTTGATTAATGACGTCTCACCAATTGCAATATCATCATCATCTACCAAGCGTGAGGAAGAAATGAACACATCGGCAGTACTTTGCTGAGACGAAATATTACTATTATTATTATTATTGACTTACAGAATCTTCCCAATTTCAAGCTATAAACGCATTAACAGTGAGAAATTCAAACAGTTTACTTCATTTTTAAAAAATAATTACATCTACTGTCGGAAATGTGTGTATCTCATTATCTAACGAAGACAATTTTATCACTTATCCATGCTGATCCGAAGTTTACTTAATTTTTTTTAGAAACATATATATCTTCCTACCATTGCTGTAGAATCAATTCTCTTGCAGAATGATGATCCCCGATTCTTTTGCTCCTTTTTCAGCTTTTTCTTTTTTTTAACCTTCTTCTTTTTTGGAGAATCAGATATTATTTGTTGTTTATCTGCCCATGGATCTTCTAAAATACTGTATAACTTACAACATCATATAAGATCAATTTAAAAAAAAATTCCACATCGCTACTTTGCAAATATTATCGACTGTAGGCAACGAATTTAAAACTCGGGATCAACCTCTTGTAAAATCACAAGTGAAAGGATTGAATTCCTCATCACTTTTTTCTTTTTCATTGCTGCAACTTTTTTCATCTTCTTCGTCTTCCGAACTTTTTGCTTCATCCAACAACCTTTTTAACCACGTTTCCTCGTCTCCTTGAATTGCACCATTTGATTCTAAAAAAAATAAATCTTTTTAATCGGCATTTATTGTGATATCTAAATATAAGGAACCTTGAAGGCATTTTCAGACAAAAAGATTCTTCATAAAGTGCTATATAGAACAATGCACATCAATTTGACTTCCAGACAAAAAGTGTTGTACAAAAACTTAAGGACTGAAATGTTAGAAACAGACAATGATTTATTATCCGAATCTATTCCAGTAAGTAACGAAATTAGATGACTTTATTGAGAGCTATATTATAAAGCAGCATATACGATGAAATATCAGTAAAGCCCGACACAATTTTTACAACAATTAATTCTATCTAAAGTTAACAAATATGGGTTTCAAAAGCAAAATTTATTATTCAATAAACTTGCGTTCTTCTTCACTTGATGACTGTTCTTCATCTTCAGTGGAGTCTGAACTATTTTCTCCTTCTGACGATTCGGAACAATTTGATTCATCAGACTCCTCCTTGTCACTCTTTTCGACATCTGAATCGCGTTTCATACGTTTTATGGGCACACCAAAAATTGTCATATTTTTTGAATTCACTCGATGAACTGAAAAAAAGTATATAATGCACATTTTATAATAACTTATTAGACTGCAAAAATTAATAAAATCCAAAACTTTCACTGATAAATTAACATAAAAATTTTTAAAGACAACAGAAAACTTTTGGCAGTGATGACTTCAGTTGGCAACAACTATTTCAGCTCATGAAATAACCAGTAATAAACAAAGTAAATTAAATGTTTGCAGTCGAAAATATGCGTTTTGCTCCGAATCATACTATACTGTACGCACTTTTGCGTTTGGCTGAACGATCTAATTCGTTGCAAATTTTGTCGAAATCAGCATACACATCTGACGAAGAATTCGTGTTTTCTGTTGGAAAATGTTTCTCTATAAGTCTCGCCAACACTGCTCTAAATTTTGTTAAATTTTTGAATTTCAGATTTTTCAAGTTAGGGTTTACGTGTAGAGTCATAAATAACGCAAATAAACTCTAACTCGCCATATGTCCTAGAATTTATAGTGTCTTTGTTATTTTGAGAAATCAAAAAAAAATTTCACATTTTTCTAAAATTCGAAAAACAAACTTTGCCGTTGACACGAATTCAGTCAATTCACCACCAGCATCATCAAGAGCTTCCAAAGTTTTGGATTCTCCAGTTGTTTGGAGACCAATTACAATGCACTTATTCGCCTTAATTGCATCGCGCGCGATTTTTATGCATGTTTTCACCTGTAAGAAAACATTCACACATTTTTTTGAAAATCAAAATTAAAAAATTTATAAAAGCATGCTTTTTAAATGTAACTTCGCTCCACAAAAAAAGAAAAACACAAACACAAATAAATGTAGGTAACAAGCTATTTATTCCTTCTGTTTATTACGTTTGAATACGCTTATTTTTTAAGTAATGTATACTATTTAAACATAATTTAAAAAAGACAAAATTTACTTTTGCACCAATGCAAAGGTATTTAAAAAACCGCTGATGTGCTGCCCAAAACTGTCCCCAAATCAACTTTACTTGCGAGCGACTAACACAGTGATGAGAAAGTGCAGCCTAAAAAAATGACTTTTTAAGTGTTATTAAATCCTATACTTAAGTTCACGTTTAGTTTTTTATAAAAGGCGTATAATATTGAAATTAGCTCCAATAAATATAAAATGACGCAAAAGAAAAATAGGACGAAGCAATAGTATGAAAATGAACAGTGGATATTATATATTTCAGATTGTTACAACATAAGTTCACTGAAAAACACATACCTGAAACTGTCTTCGACATTCGAGCCACAACTTGACAGAAGCATCATAAACTTCGACAAACTCAGCCGTCAATGGCACTTCTTCAATTCGGAAACTCACACCACGGAATGAAAGCTGTCGAGCGAGATAAAGACCTCTCTGCTAAAAATAAAAGTTTTAAAAAAATATTCTGAACTCTGAAAACAGAAACAAAGAATAAAGATGAGTAATCGGTTATTATAAATAATTATGCATCTCAAATATAAACCTTCATGTCCATAGCAACAATTTCCATAGCTCCAACACCCCGTTTTTCTACAGCATTGATGAAATCGCTGAATTCATGAAAAGCCTGTCCCTGACCCCAAAGTCCTATACGAGTCATATAGGCCATATTTCGAGGTTCTGAAATTCAAAATAGCACAATTATTTGATTATCTGTATATAACAGATACTAAGAAAAGAAAATCAAATTTAGAATAAAAGAAACATTATAAAGATATAAACAATGTGAAAGTACTTAAAAGCATACCCAAAACATTATAAATGCTAGTAATCGCGTACCTGTAGCACCAGTTGCTGATGCATACACTATTCGAGCATTAGGCAGTGCTTTCTGCAGTTCCATAACACTTCGACCTGTTTTTGTAGGTTTAGAACCTGATGTTGGCACTAAATTCTTAGCGCGATGGCACTCATCCAGAACGATAACTCCATCGTAATCCTACATGATAACTGGCTAAATACAACGGGAAAAAGAAATTAGAAAAATATTGATCCTTATTTTTCAAACAATTTGAGAAAGAATATGAAATGTTCCTGAAGTAATGCTTTAGAAATCCTTTGATGACACCTGCACGATTTCCATATCAAAGTCAGAGAAAACAGAAAAAAATGCCGTAACAAGAAATGATAACTTTTAGAACACAAACTTAATTGCTCTGGCATTAAATAACAAGTACACACTTCGTAAGAATGATTCCTTTGATGTGTTTAATAATTCTCAGAACGCAAAAAATTAAAGATGAAAGATCAAAGCGGACTAACCTGACCAAACCATTGGATCAACTGTTTAAGTCTTGTTCGATATTTACCTTTTGCTGAACGGCACTCCCCAATTAGTGATGAATAAGTTGCAAAAATGCACCCCTTCTTGACACAATTTTCTTTTCCACCAATTTTGGAATATTTAAATTTGTTTAGTGCGTAAATCTAAAAGCACTAATAGTATAAACTGTTAAGCATATAAAGCAACAAAATAAAGTAATAACATTTATTTCCCAACATAAAAATACAATTCACATAACGACAATGTTGAGCAGTTCTGGAAAATTATAAACAATTTTCACAAGAACTAAAAACCTTAATATTTTTTGCACCGATATCTCGCAAATCTCGCTCAGCATCATAGCGCAGATCAGCTGAAACGCTGAGCCTGTAATTAATGGTTTCTTATTGGGAAGTACGAAAATGCTGTATTTAAATTCCTTAACAAAAATCTATATTTGCAAATGCACAACCACTGAGCAAAAAAATCATCACTTATTTTATCGTTTTCTTCAGTTGATCTTTCGCATCGACATTTATTAATATGCCGCAGAAAAACTATCACAGCTAATATTTTACATGAAATTCATCTGAATAAAACAAAAGAATCCTTACCAAATTGAACGCTTACGTCCTAATAAATAATTCTCAAAAATAATACATGCGATCGTCCTTCCTTTGCCAACACCAGCTCCATCACCTACGGAATAAAATAATTTACAACCTATGCAAAAGAAAATGCTGCAATTTACCAAATGTAATATTAGGGGCATGTACTAAAACCATTTTGACAGGTGCAAGCGAATATAGTAAATCCTATAATGAAGGACTTATGACAGAAAGAGATAGCAGTAACATCCAAACAATTTTTGACCGATGTTTTCGATGCAGTAACATGAATGAGTAAGCACCGAAAATAAGATGATCGCCTCCTTTGAAAACAACTGAAGATCTAACCAATTAAATAGCCAGCACGTTCATTTGAAGGAAGACGCATTTCGTGGGCTTGGCAGGCATATACAACCGCTTCTAACTGTACAGCCGAAATAGCACCCGTATCAATAATCTGAATCCATTATGAAGTTAAATTCAACAAAGAAAATAGATATACGTCCAAACTATATATATATATATATTTTTTTTTTTTTTT